ACATCTAGAAAATTTTTTTTATTTATAATGCTAACAGCAAGATACCCAGGAAAACACACATGGTGTCAAAATAAGCCAAAGGAAAATCATTTGGACAGATATAAAAAGGACCCCAAGTAAAATTCACTTTATTAACCTTCGGTCGAGAATATGTTTGTATATTTTCAGAAAACAACTTCAAGACCATGTGGATTCCTGCAACAGAGAGGAATTCTCAGGAATGCTCCAGCCATGAAGACAAGAGGAGAGACAGTTCAGAGATGGAGACGCCGACGACACTTTGCCATGCTAGCAGTCAGCAGCTGTGCGTCGCTGCAGGTTGCACAGGATCAAACCAGAGAGGGTCGGACCTGCATTGCCACCATTTGTCCACCATCCAGAACTGAAATATCATTGCTGACATGTACACATAAGGAACTGTCGGACATTGAAACTTGGACTCAGAACTGTTGGACGTTGAAATTGGGACTTAAAACATTTTTTGTTCTTGAAATGTTATGCATAAGTTTTAAAATGTTTTGGGTTTTGCATTGGCATTGTTTTGTTATTGTTTTAATAGCCAGAGTTTTGTTCTTGATGCTTAAGTTTGATGCTTAAATTTTACTGTCATTATGGTAGCTTAAAAAATAAAAGAAGGGTGAGATGTGGGGAACTGATATAGGGTTAAGCCTCGGACTGACCTGTGGGCAAAGACAAAAACAATTCCCAGCTTAGAGAGCACAGTCCTCTTAGCATAATTAGGCTTGACCTTGTATAGAGCTCCTTAGATCTTACTCTGGAAGCTAATGGGCTGAGGGAAGTGCAACAAGAACAAAAACAAGTGAAACTTACAACAGTGTAACTTACTGTGTAACTATAGAAACCACTACCTTGTTTACCACTCACTATAAAATAAAGGCTCAGCTTGCCTTGGGATCTCTCTCTGTGGCCTCAGCCAGGCACAGGGAAGATCCACGGAGACTAAAGAGAGCTAGAGAGTTCTGAACGCTGTCTCCGTGTAAAACATTCTTCGCCGACTCCGTCCAAACCTTTGGGAACCCCTGGACCGCTGGGGCTGGCCCCCAGCATTACATATGTCTCCTTTTCCCCCTATTTACCCCTCCCTGGCGGCTCCTACCCCCCAGCACATGGCCCCCCCCCCTTGTGTCTGTGGCCATTGGTTATGCTTATTCTAATGCATACAAGTCCTTTTGGCTGATCACTTACCTGCCCGCCCCTCACCCCCCCACTCTTACCCTTCCCTCTGAGGTTAAATGGTCTGTTCAATGGTTCTATGTCTCTCTCTCTCTCGCGTTTTTTTTGACATGTGAATTCCTTTATTTTCGAAACCACTCAGGCTGCCTGTGTCCCTGGCAGATGGAGGCAACTTCTATGTCTCTTGATCTACTATTGTTCATCAGTTAAAATATATTTTTACTAGTGGCCCGGTGCACAATATTCCTTCGGGGGGGGGGGGGGGGGCTCTCAGCCTGGGCTGGACCCTCTCCAATTTGGGACCCCTTGGGGAAAGTCCGAATCCCGAACCCTGGGGGTTCGGGCCTAAACCAGCAGTCGGACATCCCTCTCGCAATCCGGGACCGCTGGCTCCTAACCGTTCACCTGCCTGCCTGCCTGATTGCCTCTAACCACTCTGCCTCCTGGCCTGATTGCCCCCAACTGCCCCCCCCCCCCCCCAACCGGCTCGCCCCCAACTGCCCCCCCCCCCTCGCCAGCCTGCTTGCCTCCAACTGCCCCTGCCTGCCGGCCTGCTTGCCCCCACTGCCTCCCCACCCCCCAGCTGGCCTGACCTCCCCTAACCACCCCTGCCTCAGCCCCGCCACCATGGCTTTGTCGGAAAGGAGATCTGGTCTCCTGGAAGGTCTCCCGGTCTAATTGGGATATTACCCTTTTATTAGTATAGATTGGTTTCAGAGAAGACAGGAGAGGGAGAGAGAAATAGAAACATCAATGATGAGAGTGAATCATTGATCAGCTGTCTCCTGCATGCCCCACAATGAGGATCGTGCTCACAACCTGGGCATGTGCCCTGACCAGGAATTGAACCATGACCTCATAGTTCATAGGTTTATGCCTAACCACTGAGCCATGCCAGCTGGGCAAAACTACTGTTTTTGATTTCAAAATTTTCTTATTCTGTTTTGACAGCACGAATTAGATGACATTCCTTTTTGATCTATTTTCCTCCAGGGAAATAGGACAGCACCAGATATCTATCTAGTGAGATTCCCTACAGTAATTGAATCTACTGCTTTAATGAAAAAGAGAAGAGGTCCCCAGTTGCACGTGGGGGAGTCATAGACTTTAGTGTGGACTCTTCAAGTGCATCAGTTTACCACTTGTAAGAATGTTGTAAGTGTCCCACAAAGTTTCTACAAAGTAACTGATCCTCATTCTGGCAACTCTGTACTGTTCCTGCTTTTTGCAGAATCTCACTGGCTCTCTTGGAATGCTAGTCCTAACCTTGTCCAACAAGGTTTATCCCTAGGGAGTGTGCCAAGCATTCCTAGCTGCTAGGTTTCGCTCCTTCCTTCCTTAATTATTGAGCCCAATACATGTCTGGCACATGATCTCATCCTTCCTGTTCTGTGTCTCAACCTCTCACTCTTCCAGTCCTCAAAAAAGAGTCTATTTGTAACTTAGGGTAAAAAGGATATATTGTTTGGAAGTGCATTTTAACAAAGAAGCAGTGCTACCCATTGTTAAAGCTTAAGGAGCAACATTCGTGGTGTTAACATTCTTCGTATTTAGTTGACTAATATTTTAGTAAACTCAGAAAATAGTTGATGAATATATACTAGAGCAGCCGTGGGCAAACTACGGCCCGCGGGCCGGATTTGGCCCGTTTGAAATGAATAAAACTAAAAAAAAAAAAGACCGTACCCTTTTATGTAATGATGTTTACTTTGAATTTATATTAGTTCACACAAACACTCCATCCATGCGTTTGTTCCGGCCCTCCGGTCCAGTTTAAGAACCCATTGTGGCCCTCGAGTCAAAAAGTTTGCCCACCCCTGATCTAGCCTCACTTCTGAATTGCACGTTGGAGACACTCAACAACTGTTACTTTTCTTCTTCTTTTTAATATTGTTAGTAAATGGGTTTGTTAGTAAACATCTGTCTTTCTGCTTGCTTCCAAAAAACATGGTCTTAACAAAAAAGAAGCGATTCTTCACAGATTATGATTTACTGAGTTTAGTAGAAATGCCTATTGTGAGAACACATTCCAACTATTTATTGAAAGTACCTTTAAAAATATGTGGGATTCAATTCTATTAAGCTCCTGAATACTCACTGTCTGTGGGAACTGATGCCTTGTCATTAAGGTCTTCACCTACAATTTGCAACCTCATCATAAACCTGATGGACATTTATAGTTTATATAATAATTGTTTATCAACTTGTGCCTAATGGGCAGGTACTCACATTTGACACAAATACTATCTGAAATGAATAAGAGGGTTACAATGACACAAAGACTCAAATATTCAATTTCATGATAAGTATTTTAGAAATGGTCTCTTGAAGTTATCCTACTTGCACAATTAATTATGAAGCAAGGATAATAGTCACTGAGGCTATCAAGCAACAGTGACCAACCACTATAAACAATATTTATAATTCAGCTAGGTACAGCAGTTAACTAACAATTGGGATGGTGAACACACAATACAATATACAGATGATATATTATAGAATTGGAGAATTGTACCCCCCAAACCTATATAATTTTATTGACCAATGTCACCCCAATAAATTCAATAAAATGTTAAAAACAAGTAAACAGAAAACTAATCTTGTACCTTTACTTCTATCACTAGTTACTATATTGAAAGTGTTTTGTATACAAGTAATTATAAGTTGAAATAATAAATAAAGGTGTTTTTTTTTTCCTAACTGAAAAAAAAGTCCAGTTTCAGCTAATTTCTCTGAGGTGTATGGTGTAGGCTTCCAAAATCAGTTGAAAGCATGCAGCTATTTTTTGCATATAAAGACAGCTTATACTTACTTAAAATTGGTTTATTTCATTTTGCACTTCCTTCTATAGTAGAGAGTGATGGTGTTAGAGGAGGGGTTTGAAATACAGCTAAATACTTCTTTTAACTTAGCTCATGACAATTTCCCTTTCTAGATGAGCTACTCACCTACAAGTTTCTGGACTTACCAAGGCCACAGTTGCTCCTGTTCATTTGGTTGTTTATGATCCAAAATAACTGGTGGTTAGAATTTTAGGGCCTGTATTCATGCAACAGAGGACTTCCTCTTGAGGCTTTGGGGAAGTAAAAAACCAAAGGGGTAAACACAAGTTTTATGAGTCATCCCCAAGTTTTTGTGATGCACCTTCCCGTCTCATCATCAAAACAAACCAAAGCCAAACCACCATATTCTTGAAAAGAATCTCATATTAGGAGAACATTGCTACTTGTTACTACTTCCAGGATCTCATTGGGGAATAAATTCCCCTCTCATTAGTTACTCCACAGGAGACAGAAGAAGGCTTTTGAATTTAACAGTGGGGGTCGGGGGTACCTTGGTGAGGGTCCTAAAATCCCACTAGACATCTTTCTTATGAGTCCAGTTTTGCCTGGATGCCTAGAAAACGATCCTCTTTCTGCCTTTTCTTTACGAACCAAACTGCCGAATTACCTCTGGAATTAGGGAAGGGCTCGTCCCCGTTCAGGTGTCACTCGGACGGAGATGGATCCAGAGGCAGGAGAGACCTGGCCGCGGGCGCCTCCCGGCTCTCGGGAAGCCCCCCACCCTGTCCAGACCCCGCAAGTCGGAAGAAGTGACCTCGCGTCCCCCCTGAGCCCCCCTTTTTGCGTGCCCCACGCAGGCTGCAGCTGACAGCTCAAGAACACAGCTGACAATAACAACTCTGAGCACCGGCTGTCAGTTCAGCTCTGCGGCGCTGAGCGGAGGCAACCCTGGCTCAGGGACCCGGCCCCGAGACAGCCGGCTGGAGGGCTGGACGCGGGCAGAAAGGGAAGGAATGAACTTACCCGCTGGAAGGTGCTGGCTTCTCTGGCAATTTGAGTCCCCTGGCCACTGAATCCCATCCCCCGCGAGTCCCCTGGCCCCGCCCACTCTAGCCCCGCCTTGCCGACTCTGATTTCGCATTGGCGCAAAGAGGAGCGCACCGCCCACTCTGATTTCACATTTGCGCAAAGAGGAGCCCGCCAATTTGGCCTTGGCGTGGAGAGGAGCGCGCGCTGATTTTTGAATTTGCCTTGGCGCGAAGAGGAGTGCGCTGCTGACTCTGATTTCGCGTTGGCATGGAGAGGAGCGTGCGCTGACTCTGATTTCGCGTTGCCATGGAGAGGAGCGCGGGCTGACTCTGATTTCGCGTTGCCATGGAGAGGAGCGCGCGCTGACTCTGACTTCGGCTTGGCGTAGAGTGGAGCGCGCTGACTCTGATTACGCGTTGGCGTAGAGAGGAGCGCGCATTGCCTTTTGGGATCGGTAGTTTTACTAGGGCGTCTCCGCTGGACCAGACAGGAGAAGGACGGCTCTATGGACTACAAGGTCCGGCGTCCTCCCAGCCAGGTGGGCGGTGGGAAGGGAAGGGGACGGGCTCAGCTGGGGTTTTAAACAGTAGTTGGGGTACTGGCAAAGGGGGAATCCTCGCTTGCGTCACTGGTCCAAGTGGAGAGGCAGGACTCGAGACGCGTCACTTGGGCCCCAGCTGCGGGAGAACTTGACACACCCAGGCCAATTTCAGCTCCCCCCCTGTGTTTTTCCGGGGGGCCTGTCCAGGCTCCGCGCGTGTCCCTGGAAGGCGGAAACGGCTGCGGGACCATCTCCTGGCGGAGGGGCCTGATCCTCGCCGCCATGTCCGGGGGCTTTGAGTTGCAGCCGCGGGACGGCGGCCCCCGGGTGGCCCTGGCGCCCGGGGAGACGGTGATCGGCCGCGGGCCGCTGCTGGGAGTAAGTGTGCGAGGGCTCGGCCGGACCCTAGAGCCGTGCAGCGAACGATCTCGCTCGCTTCTGCGGCCCTTTCCCTCCTGAACCTATTCCCCACCACGCCGGCCATGTCTGGATTTTAAAAGTTTGGGGGCAGCACGTTTTTCACTCAATTTGAATCCTCTCACACACGTTTCCCTTATGTTGCCTTTAAAAAGCACGGACTTGTGTTATCATCATTATCATCTCATCCAGTGGTCGGCAGACTGTGGCCCTGGGTCCAAATCCAGCCTGTTTTGGAATGGGCCTGCGTCCTAAGAATGGCCCTTAATTTTTAAAGTGGAAAATGTAAACAAACAAAGAACCTGTTAGCCTTTCAGGGGGAATAATTGCTCCAAGGGCTGTGGATATTGCCTCTTGACTTGACAAACCACAATATTTACACTAATATCTGGCTCATTATAGAAAAAACGTTTGCCAACCCCTGAATTTATGTTTTCTAGAATAATTTCTTTTAAGTTTTTGGCCTCATTTGTGTGACTGATGGCCTCACTTTTATCGGTATAGTCTTTCAGTAGCTAACCCTTATAGGGTGTGTAGTGTTGCAGGCATACCAAGTTCTTTAATCCGTTCAAAACCATGGGAGTTAGGTGCTCTTTTTATCCTCATTGTTCAGATGAGAAAATTGAGTTGTAGATCGGTTATTTAAAGGCCACACGTAAGGTTTTGGACCCAAAGTGGCACTAAGCTGTTTAATCTCCACCCTCTTTGGGATGTTTAAGAATTAGAAAAGTGGTCTGCTGCATTCTGAAATTTTGTAGCTTTCCTTCTAAATATGTACATGCATATTTTCTTAATAGTCAACATTTCTTTTTTAGTGCCCACTTTGTGCAACACATTTTGTAGACTAGCACTGTGGGGCATCCAAATATGAGACATGGGTTGATGCCCTCTAGTTTTCTCTTGGACGGTGGAGACAAACCTGTGCCAGTGAGCTAATGCCAGGGAGTAATGGGTATGGACTGTTATTCTGGTTAACCTCCAGTGTCTAAATGGAACCATTGGTATTAGCGCAAGAACCCTTCTCCAAGCAGGAAAAGTTGTGAGAAGGAAGTCAGTCCTAAAGGTGTGTGTGTGTGTGTGTGTGTTTGTACAGCTTAATACTCTTAAATGAAAACTACTGGTTTATTTATTTATTTGTTTAAAAAATATATATATATATATATATATGTTTGTTTTTAATTTAAATTCTTTATTGTTGAAAGTATTACATATGTCTCCTTTTCCCCCTATTTACCTCTCCCTGGAGGCTCCTACCCCCCTAGCACAGGCCCCCCCCCCTTGTGTCTGTGTCCATTGGTTATGCTTATCTGCATGCATACAAGTCCTTTGGTTGATCACTTACCTGCCCCCCCCCCCCTTCCCTCTGAGGTTTAACAGCTGTTCCATGCCTTAGCCCTGCCACCATGGCTTTGTCCGATAGGACGTCTGGTCTCCCGGTCTAATTGGGATATTACCCTTTTATTAGTATAGATTGGTTTCAGAGAAGACAGGAGAGGGAGAGAGAAATGGAAATGTCAATGATGAGAGAGAATCATTGATCGGCTGCCTCCTGCATGCCTCGCACTGAGGATCGAGCTCACAACCTGGGCATGTGCCCTGACGAGGAATCGAACCATGACCTCATAGTTCGTAGGTTGATGCTTAAGCACTGAGCTATGCCAGCTGGGCAAAACTGTTGTTTTTTTTAAAATATATATTTTATTGATTTTTTTACAGAGAGGAAGGGAGAGGGATAGAGAGTTAGAAATATCGATGAGAGAGAAACATCGATCAGCTGCCTTCTGCACGCCCCGTACTGGGGATGTGCCCACAACCAAGGTACATGCCCTTGACCGGAATCGAACCGGGGACCCTTCAGTCCGCAGGCCGATGCTCTATCCACTGAGCCAAACCGGTCAGGGCTAAAACTACTGTTTTTGATTTCAAAATTTTCTTATTCTGTTTTGACAGCACGAATTAGATGACATTCCTTTTTGATCTATTTTCCTCCAGGGAAATAGGACAGCACCAGATATCTATCTAGTGAGATTCCCTACAGTAATTGAATCTACTGCTTTAATGAAAAAGAGAAGAGGTCCCCAGTTGCACGTGGGGGAGTCATGGACTTTAGTGTGGACTCTTCAAGTGGCATCAGTTTACCACTTGTAAGAATGTTGTAAGTGTCCCACAAAGTTTCTCCAAAGTAACTGCTCCTCATTCTGGCAACTCTGTACTGTTCCTGCTTGTGCAGAATCTCACTGGCTCTCTTGGAATGCTAGTCCTAACCTTGTCCAACAAGGTTTATCCCAAGGGAGTGTGCCAAGCATTCCTAGCTGCTAGGTTTTGCTCCTTCCTTCCTTAATTATTGAGCCTAATACATGTCTGGCACATGATCTCGTCCTTCCTGTTCTGTGTCTCAACCTCTCACTCTTCCAGTCCTCAAAAGAGAGTCTATTTGTACTTTAGGGTAAAAAGGATATAGAGTTTGCTTTTGGAAGTGCATTTTAACAAAGAAGCAGTGCTACCCATTGTTAAAGCTTAAGGAGCAACATTCGTGGTGTTAACATTCTTCGTATTTAGTTGACTAATATTTTAGTAAACTCAGAAAATAGTTGATGAATATATACTAGAGTCAGATGGGAGGGATAAAAGAGAAACAAATCTTTACTCTCAAGAAACTTAAAGTTTAATAGGTATGAGAGACATAGAAGCAAGTAACTAAATAAGTCACAACCTCAAGTGGGACTGGAGCCAGTCAGGCAACCTGAGTGAGTGAACAGGAAGGAAGTAAGGCTTCCTCAATATGTCAGTGATTATGAAGTGTTAGAATAGGTAGAATTTTGGTCGGTGGAGAGTGGGTGGTAGGGAGGGAAGGTCCCTTTCAGACTAAAAGAATGTACCATTTCAGCCTCTAAGGTTTAAAAGTGTAGGCATATTGGATAATCGGATAAGTGCTGACTAGACTTGTGGGATAATCATTACAACAATGGTCCCATTTAACTTTTTACAGACAATATTTTTATAGCACTTGTTAGTTAGCAGTTTTAGGCAGAATTGAGTTGAAAGTACAGAGTCCCATCTACCTCTGCCCCCCACCCCCATCTGCAGCCTCCCCCACTATCAACATCCTGTACGACAGTGGTATGTTCTATAAACTTATATTGACATGTCATTATTGCCCAAAGTTCATAGTTTACAGTGGGGTTCAGTCTTTGTGTACATTCTGTGGGTTTTGACAAATGTGTAATGACATGTATCCACCATTGTAGTACCACACAGAATAGTTTTACTGTCTGGAGAATCCTCTGTGCTCTGTCTATTCATCCTTCCTTTCCCTCCCAGCACCTGGCAACTAATGAACTGTTCACTGTCTCTATAGTTGTACCTCTTGCAGAATATCATATCAATGGAATCATGCAGTATGCATATGTAGACTTATCAGATTGGCTTCTTTTACTTAGTAATATGTACTTAAGTTTCCATAGCTTTTCATGGCTTTTTAATGATGAGTAATATTCCATTGTCTGGATGTTCTATAGTTTATCCATTTACCTACTGAAGGACATCTTGGTTACTTCCAAGTTTGACAGTTATGACGAAGGCTGTTTTAAACATCTATGAACAGGATTGTATGGTAAGAATGTATTTAGTTTTGTAAGAAACGGCCAACTGTCTTCCAAAGTGGCTGTACCATTTTACATTTCTACCAGCAATGAATGAGAGTTCCATCCCAAATCTTCATCAGAGTTTGGTATTGTCAGTGCTTTGGCTTTGGGCCTTCTGGTAGGTGTGTAGTGAGTTACTTTTCTTATGTATATAAAAATTATCTGCCTTTTTTTTCATATGCCTTCATATTTCTGTACGAACTCCTTTCTCTGGTAACTTGATTCCGTAGGTGGTTTCTGGATATCTGTGTTTTTTAAAGCTTTGAAGATGATTCTGTTATGAAACCAGAGTTCAACACCACTTCTAGACACACTGTGAAGGATGCTTGGCACAGAATAGGTCTTTAAGAAAGGTCTGCTGAACTGGACTAAATAAGTAACAATTAAGAAACTTTAATTTACTAAAGTCTCAAATGAGGATTTAAATGCAGTTTTGTCCTCCTAAACTTTTCTTATGCATTTACTCACTATGTTGTCTCTGTCATAATATATTGATGAT